AGTAGTAGTAGTAGTAGTAGTAGTAGTAGTAGTAGTAGTAGTAGTAATACTAATCATAATATTAATATAGTAGTGGTAAAGGGTAGTAGTAGAAGTAGTAGTAGTAGTAATAGTAGTAGTAGTAGAAGTAGTAATAGTAATAATCATAATAATAATATAGTATTATTATTATTAGTAGTAGTGGTAGAAGTAGTAGTAGTAGTAGTAGTAGTAGTAGTAGTAGTAGTAGTAGTAGTAGTAGTAGTAGATATAATGGTAGTAGTAGATATAATATAGAGACCTGAGAGAGGGAGAGAGAGAGAGAGAGAGAGAGAGAGGGAGGGAGGGAGGGAGGGTAGAACTCTAGACGGAGAGGGGGCAGCCACCTTGTTTTCGTTTTAACTTTTGTCTGGAGAGTAGATTTAAAATGAAGAATAAGAATACACCTGACTTTTTCTTTTGGCATTTCTTTATAGGCCGTATAGAAACCTTGAACCTGACTGCCTTTAGATAACAACCTGTTAACCAGGAGCAGGTCCCAATGGCGGTACACACGTGCAGACGATCAGACAAACTCTAAATTGTTTCTCCACATGGAGTCAAGTCATCTTACATTCCAAGCCAAACATGAACAAGTTAAGATTCCCTCAAGACTCTAATTCACTGCCCATTATCGGATTGAGGTAGACCCATCGCAAGACTCCATGGTCATATTTTCTTAGAGTTTTTTTGTTTTGACAAATACGTTTTCATTTTTACATGACGTTAAATATTTTATGCAAATATACCCGCTGTTACCCTGCCTCACAACTGTTGTTCAATTCGCTTTGGTCTCAGTGAGGGGTATTTGTACGTATACTAAAGGAAATTGTAAAAAAAGGCTGATGAAAATGTCAAATTGTTCCCTTCAGGGAGACGGTCTCTGCTCCAACGAAACAGGTGTAATATAGATTCAATCGCTGTGAAATAGCGCCACCATCGTGATAGCTGAAGAACAAAGTCTCGTTGATTTTCAAGTATCCCGTCTTTTCTCTGTAGTCTTGTAATAACCAACTTTTCTGGTACTGAAAATACATTGGCAAAATATTAAATTCAGTTCAATTCGTTTCTTTCAATTCCAGCAAAGACATTATAAATACAAAGGTAAATACATGAAATATATACATACACTGCGTGATGTCATGCAATAGGAACTTAAAACCTTTCAATACTCATTATGACCCACACTTTTTTTTAAATTAAGGTGATAACAGGAGAGAAAAGCAGGATATTATTCTATCCACCCCAAAAGTGTGAATCTTTTTTTTTCTTTTTCTATTTTCTATAATTTTGGTGGTTTTATAAAATGTGAAGTTAACAATACTAATAGTCAGGTTTGTACCACTTAATACTAAGTTTCTAAGCGAGACACATTTTAGTTATCATTACACCGGTCATTGGATTGAATTGTAGAGTATCATAGGCGCATATTTTACAAGCACACACGTCCTGCCAATCCAACCACACTAACGTTCACATCATACCGGTTACCCATACCTTGGTGGAGAGTGGCTAATGTAGACTGATGTTTTGCCAAAGGACATTGCGTGGCGGGACTCGAACCGCCAACCATGTGATTCACAGTCCAGTGATGTAACCACGAGACCTCGACATAATAAATGACATCGACGTTATTATGGAATGTCGATATAAGTATAATGTGAGTCTCCTCTGATACAACGAACTTCACAACGATGGGAAAATAACCTGGATGAACAAATATTGACTCTTCTATACACTCTACGTGCCTTCTGTTAGAGAGATGGGTAAATAAAGACAACGGGAAAACATAGGAGGAGAGAGAGAAAGAGAAGGTGTGAGAGGGAGGGATTGAGAGAATGAGTGAGAGAGAGAGAGAGAGAGAGAGAGAGGGAGAGAGAGAGATGGAGGGAGATATATATCATTTTTATAATTTTGTTCTCATTTGCTATGTTTTCTTTATGTATATATAATTAGGCCGATAAATGTTTTCGAATGCTTTTTAAAAAATATTATGATTCTATGTTTGATGTAAACTTGCAATTTTAGTCTTTGGACTTTTTGACAAGTCTTGAACAAAACCTCATTTGAATTGAATTGAATATATATATATATATATATATATATATATATATATATATATATATATATATATATATATATAGAGAGAGAGAGAGAGAGAGAGAGAGAGGGGGAAATGTGAGGAAAGGGGGCCATGCGGGCTCCGTTAGAGCTCCGTTCGGCCTCCGTTTGGGCTCCGTAGGGCTCCATGGTCCCTGTGAAAGATTTCAGATTACTATAATAAACCAGACATTATGATATGTAAATAAATGTGTACACTCCCCGTAACCTCCAGAAATTGCCCGCAGAAAAAATGGAAGTAAAGGTATATATTGTGCCGTTTCGCACGTAGCTTTGCTTTGTTTACTGAATAATACTGTTAATGATTATAACGATTGTCAAGTTTATCAGATATTCAAACGATGCCATTCTGCATCGACTCAATAGCACGTTCACCATCACTTCATAGCTATATATAATTCTTATTACACTTACAGATAATGCAACAATTAAAAAGCAATGAAGCAGATCAAGAGTCCTCATTCGCAGTTGAACATACCCCATAAATGATTGTTTATTTTAGACGTGTATGAGTTTATGTCAAGAGTTTTAGAAGGAAGAATTGGTTTTGATACCGAGTCATTTACTGGTCACAGAGGAATACATTTACGTGATGGGGGTAGTTATGCCAACATCCTTATTTGTTGGTTTCTTATCAATTGAGCTTTCATTATGTACATATATGTATATAACCACGAAGTAATTGATTGTACGTTAATTTTGATTACAGGCATAGTTCATTTAATATACATTTGTCTAGGTATATAGCTCACGGTTCGACCCCAGTTTGTTAACCTGTGTGCAAGGGGCTTTTAAATAAATATATAGTACCCGAGATCTAGTAATAATGAAATCGGAATGAGATTATAATGAACTCATAATATTTCACTTGAAGTGTGAGATACATGTGCCTGATATTTAGATGTTTCGTCCGAATCAATTTTTTCAGTAAGAGCTGAAACGCGCATCATTGTCATCTTTATCAATCTGAGCACATAGAGCTGTTCGATTGCTATGACACAGACCGGTTGCATGAGGGGATCTTGGCCAAAGACGCTAAATCATTCTTCTCCTCTTCTCTATAAAAGAGGACAAAGCTTCAAGCTTTTAGAATTGTTAGTATTTAACTACTTAAACATTGACGGAAACTTCTTCTGCATCATAAAAACTTTAGATGGGCGTTGAGGTGCTTAGGATAATAGCCACGAAAATAATCCCAATGCATTAATTTTGTTCAAGTACAGATATAAGTGTCTTATTCAAATGTATTATCATTGAATGTATACGGCTCATTTCAGTGAGTAAATGAACATTATTGAAATGATGCATTGACCTTTGGTCTACTTATTCATAATAATACATGGTTAAAGGTACTATGTCCCTTTTGCAGCCAACCTCAAATGCTGTAGAACTTTGCAGGAATTATGAATATGTCATGTATGTCCTATCTGTGAAATTTAAACGTTAGTAGTGTCCTCATATTCAAATTATGCAAGGAAACCCGTTTACTTGCTAGACTTCACTGTCAGACACTATTGAGTGACTGACTGGCTTTTTTCTTCTTTGGTATTAATATACATGAAAAGAGTTGTAAAGGGCACATGAGCATTTGTCTACATCAAAAACCCACTTCTTGTGATGGCCAAGATTAAACTGATTGAATCTTTCCGCAGCATAAAACGTATGACCATTCGGTACAATTGTCTGAAAATCTAGACTATTACTTTTGGGCTCTATAGCCCTAAAGTCGATTTGACAACTAATAGTCGTTATTTTCCCACTTGAAGACATTTTCAAGCCCCACCTCTTTTAGGGAAGTTCTAAATTAGTATTATCTTTCAAATGCAGTTGGAATTTAACTTTTTCATTTTTTTGGCCTGCGAATGGGACATAGTACCTTTAAAGTGCATTCGGAAATGATCATACCAAAAGATAAGTGAACAAATATATTATTCATCGGTGAGTATATATTTGAATTCGAGGCGGACATAGTTTGGTTAGGAATATCAACGTGCATGCTTGTAGATAATGATCGGGAGTCCATGGGGAGGGAATGGGGGGGGGGGGGTGAGTTGCCCATCAATGATTTTAAAATTAAGTATGTAGTATGCATCTGCAGAGTGTGCCCCCGATGTAATGTCTCCCCCTCCCCACGACTTCCATAATTTGGATCAACATCTCTTTAATACAAACATAACTCCCATGAGGAAAATGAGAGATAGATATAGATAGAAAGATAGGTAGGTAGATAGAGAGAGAGAGAGAGAGAGAGAGAGAGAGAGAGAGAGAGAGAGAAAAAAGATTCCGCCGGAGGGGGAATACTTTATCTGATTTTTATGAAATTAATATGGGACGTCATTGTTCAAGGACCCCTCAAAATTTTCTCTCTCTTTTCCCTTTCATTCTGATACAAATAGGACTATTACTCTCTTTCAGAAGCAATTTGTAAAAGGACTGGTGAATGTATGAGATTCAATGCAATGACCTTGTACCAGGTATCAGCCTCGTTGGTGCACGTGTAATATTGTTATTTTCTATTGATCCACTCCTGATTCTCTGCATTGAACGAACAAGAGGAGAAGTTTCTGACACAGATCTCTTCTTTTATCAGCCCCTTTGTCGCAGAACAAAACCGATCCGATAGGTGGGGTATTGATATCATGACGGGATGATATGCCCCTCTGTTTGGGTTAAAGACTCGAAGATAATGAAAATATAGAAGCAAATATTTAAATTTGGAGTAGTGTGGTTTGTTGGTGCACGTTGGTCGGTGATGGATGGATGGAGAAACATAAGAAGAACAAACACGCACCTATAGATGTCACGTGACCTCAAGTGTGATCGTGATATTGTACTTTGGTACTCTTTTGTAGACTTTCGAATCAAAATCGTTGACAGTCTAAGATCATACTCAAACTGGAATAGACGCAACAATGGCAGAGTCTGATAACGAGTAAGCAATCACTTTACAGATTTGTATCTCTGTATTATATTTGATATTTTATTACAATAAATGTATAGTATGGTTACACTTGAAGTGTAAATGCAGAAAAAGCTCTGGTGTTTTATGAAGAAAAAAGTGAGAAACTTTGAAAATGACCATCAAATATTGCTGAATAGCCAAATCATTATCGAATTCAGATCAGGCTGTGTTACTGAAAGTGTTCGAGTTTGCTGCATATTCTGCATTACCCTAGTTCATATAGATAGCGGTCCATCCACGAGTGATGAGCGGGCCGCCAATATATCAGTGGTTACGTTCTTTCTTTGCTACAACGGAAGGAGATTAAGAAAATACATCATCAACGACTATCGGTATGAATAAGATCCTAACCCTCACTCGCTTGCTTTGCTCCCTCGTAAATAACCTATCCTTATGAGCTTTTATGATTTGAAAGAGAACATCGATTATATCAAACGAGGATCATGTAAGGGGAAAAGTCATTCATGTGGACGTCTTAAGCGAGGGGAAAGGCATTCTGATATTTGAAAATGTACCACCTGCAATAGACGGCCCGTGTACGTGTAATACTCCATGGCCCATTGCCAGAAAGATTATCTGGCCCGTCGGAAAATTAATTAGGAACCCGTGGTGTAATAGCTCCGCAGTTTGAGTGATGAAAAGGTTGTAATTTTTGCGCTACCTGAATAAATGTTTTCATTGCGCACACGCAGCGCGAAAACCTAATCGCGCGAAAATTATAGTTTTTGGTGAGAAAAGAAATGATTCGAACGGATGCGCTCGACTGCGACTACACCCTCGGTATGAAAGGTGATGTGTACATAGTCAACCGAATGGAGAAGTCGAGCTTACTGGCGACTCCCAGAGTACATTGGTCAAATCCACGCAGTGTCGCAAAGGGTAGTTCAATCTGACGCGGTAGACCACCGCGTTATTTTTATTTAATCGTAGGAAATAGTTAATATATAGCGTACACTCTAAAAAAAAGGGTGCAAAAAAGGGTGCAAAATAAGAGTTTGCACCCTTTACATAAAAATGAACCCTATTGAAGGAAAAGGGGTTCAAAAAAGGGTGCAATATAAGATTTTGCACCCTTCCCACAAAAATGAACCCTAACGACCCAAAAAGGTGCAAAATAAAAGTTTGCATATTGCATGCATATTCATGATTACTTTCCACGTGTTCACATAAAAATACATTTATCATATGATTTGTTAAGCAAATTATGACAATGCACATCAATTTTGTGATTTGTATTTTCCTTCGGCAATCATTAACCAATAGATTATTTTGTCTGATCATGTTACAATTTCATTCACGTTTTGCACCCCTAAAGGTGCAGGATTGAACCATAAAGGGTACTAACATTTCCTCCAAAAGGTTCAATCTGGCACCCTTTTGAAGGGTGCAGGATTGCACCTTTAAAATGGGTGCAGGATTTAACCCCTAAAGGTACTGCTATTGCTGCATCGGTTTGAACCCCTAAAGGTGCATAGTTGCATCATTTTTTCTTAGTGTGTATACCTTATAAAAAAAAAGGGTCAAATAGACAATCACGTCATTTTTTAAACTCATATCATTGCTGTATCAATCGTTACTGCTAAACTTATTTCCTCTTCCATTCTCTCCCCTGTTTCTAGCACTCTTTCTCCCCTTTCTCTCTCCCCTCTCTCTCAGTCGCTCTCCTAATCTCTCTCTTTCTTCTCTCCTTTTTATTTCCCCCTTCTCTCCTTTTGTATTCTTCACCCTGTATCTATTGTAACGATTTGGAATTGCTGGCCCCGTTTACAAACCGATCAGCACACGATACGCTTTGAACCTATGAATGTTTAAAGTATATCTATTTTTTGCCTTTGTAAATCTTAACTTATTTTCCGTCAAATGTAAATTTCCAATGTATCACTGTATTTTACTGAGCTTTTTAATCTGTTAAAACCACGCAATTATTCAGTTTTAAAATCTATTGCAACTATTGTATAAGCCTGTCTGGTTACAAACAAACACGACCCGTTTAAAATCAATGAATATCGGAGAGGAAATATTATTGCATGTTCACATTTATATATATCTTTATATTTTATATTTTTACTATGAACTTGAACGAATTTTGAATTTATATCTTGTAATGTCTGATTTCACATGTATTTACTGTTGACCTAGATGAAGTCTGTAAGGAAAGAGTAGTATCTAAGGCCCTATCCATTATGTCTGATCTTACCCACCCCCTTAATGACCAGTACATACACCTGAGGAGCGGACGAAGATTGAGATCTATTAAAGCAAGAACTAGTCGCCGCATTAATTCATTCATACCACTTTCCATAAGAGTAGTTAATGAAACCCAGTAAAGAATAGAGAATGTGAAAACCATGCAAAATACCCTCATTGACATGTTACACGAATATATATATTGTTTTAGTATACTTACTTTACTGTTGTACCTCTACTGTTATACCATATCAAGAAATAATTTTTAACACAAAATACCTACTTTAGATTAGAGCATATAAGAATTTAAAAAAAATGGAGGGTATGTAAGAAGAAAGAGAAGAAGAAGAAGAAGAAGAAGAAGAAGAAGAAGAAGAAGAAGAAGAAGAAAGAGTATTTAAATGTATATTCATCATGACCATGTATATTATATCAAATGTATACTAAAACAGGGCCCTATGAATGTCAATTATATGTTGTTCCTATGTTCATATATATGTTGAAGCAAGATTGTTCATGTGCATATAAACAATTATCCTATCTGGACTCAATAAAGAAATGAAATGAAATGAAATGAAATTTATTGTAATGTAATTTTTTTTATCAATTTGTAAAAAGTCACACAATTCAGCCTTCGGGCTGCGAGATGATTTTCAATAAAACAAACCATTTATAAAATATAAATAATAACTGCTTGTGTATCTTGTTGATTGTGTTCAGGGACTCGAGAACACTTCGATTATTGTATGACTGAATGTAAGGTTACAATCTCCACACAAGACAAAAAGAAACAATATACAAGCTGTTATATATAACACAAAGTACAAGGGTAGGATTTCTCTACTTGAAGCTATTGATAAAATAACTGTTCCTCCACACAATCCAATAATAGACCTGTTTTTTACAAATACAAATACCGTCTATTCAGAGCCAGAATAAAGGCGTTAACTCTGTATCAAAGTATACAAGCCAATGCCCTATTGGATCCAAACAGACGAATTATGTTTATTGATATGCTCACTGTTTATGATGTCGCCGAGCAATTCATCTCGTCATCATGATATCATTTATTGCTATGTCGGGAAATCATCAAGGAAGCTGTACATCATTTTTTTTAAAGAACATATTCCTTTCCAAATGAATAAGCTGGTTATTGACATGCTGGTTATGAATGAGTCAGCATTTCCTCAATTTGAACTATGCTTAACATTAATTACGGTAATTAAGTTATTATTTTGTATTATGTTTCATTTAAAAAATATAATTTCAGTATTGTTTCTTTAATTTTGACTTTTTGACCCGTTTCACAGAGCCTTCTTTCAATGACAAAAGACAAATATCACTGACAAATCTGCTGATAACTAATCAGAAGCAAGAATTTTAGTAGCTTATAACAAAAACTGTCATTTGTCACTGATGACAAGTTTTGTGAAATGGGGCCCTGTTCTTCGTTATTGTTTGTATCATGTTAATTGAAGTCACAACCTTCCCTCTCATCTCATTCTCATCCACAGTATACCTGGTGGGAATATCTTCAAGCAAGCATGGGTGACCATTACATCATTTTTCGGCAGCTTCTTATCCAGTGGTGAGTTTAACAGTATCTAAATCAAAGTCCCTAAACGATTCTTATAGAACCTTTATGAATGATGTTAAGACTTGGGCCTTAATAATTGTCTTATGAAGAATTTCGATTGATTCAAATTGATCGCAACCTAAATGTATTACAACTCTGCACTTTGGAGATAGTTGCTCATAAGGTTGCAATTGATAGGAGGACTTGTTCGCAAGACATGGCCCGGCAATTGAAAAGTTAACTTCTATCTTTCGTAGCCTAATAGAACACAATGTTTTAAATTCTCCATCATTGCCACCATATAACACATAAGTTAAAGTTGACAGTGTGGGAATAGTGTTCACACTATTTCCAATGCAAAGTGACAGCAAAAACGCACATAATTCATTCAAAGTGTAAGAACACAGTTTATTGGATCAATTTCGTAGTGTTGATAAATTCTTTTTTTAAATATTTTTAAAAATATTTTTCAAAATAGTTTTGTTTTAATAGACAAACATGTTTACACTGTAGTCTAATTATGTGACATAGTGTAACGCAGTGTAGTGGTAAGACATTGACACAGTTTGTATGGTCACACAGTGCATATGATCAGTATGATAGTGTCAACAGTTTTTTTTTCAGGTAACTTTATATTCACAGTGTAACGCATGGCCAAGACAGAAAGAATCATATATACATCATATAGTGTATTGGTTGGGGGGGGGGGGGGATAATTTAGTCACGTGAATGAGAAAATTTCACTGAACCCTCACATTTACTGCAATCCTTTAGGGGCGAGGGTGGCTGTAATCTTAGCTTTAGTAAGAAAGAAAATGTTCTTTTTAAGGTAAATCCTTCGAGTTAACGTGATAATAGATGTTAATAACACACTAAGCACTTTATAATAATCAACTGGTAAATTCACCAGTGCAAAAGGTCGGAGAGTTCTGTCTTGTACAGTTTACGTGAGATAAACCTTGATTGTTGAATCTCCGACACCTAATATCATGGTAGCGATTATTATTGTTTTTTGACAAAGGATATCGTATTTAGTTTGTAAAACTATAGCTAAGACGAAGTAATAGAAACCGCCTTCAAGTAGCCCTCTACTCTTTGAAACACCGCTAGGTAAACTAAGGTAAATATTAAGACAAATATTATTCTTACCATAGAGTGTTGTACTGGGTTTATCACAAAGATGGCAAAATGTAGAACGAACATGAACATAACAGAATATTGTAATAATAACAGGTTTACTCAGTTTTCTAAACTAGGAAAAGAGAAAGGAGAGAGAGAGAGAGAGAGAATGACAATAAATATGGAAATAAATAATATGGATATAAAAAGTATGGAAAAGAGACAAAGTGAAGGAGAGAGAGAGAGAAGGAGAGAGATTGGGGGCAGAGAAAAGAGAGAGAGAGAGAGAAGGAGGAAAAAAGAAAGAGAGAAAGAAAGCAAGTGATTAATTGATCGATTCTGATAGAAGGAATTTTAAAACAACATGTTTTCTTCACAATAATAGTTTACGACAAAAAAGTAAATAACAAAGTTCACCAGTGTTTGTGTATCGGACACGACCTACTTTAGTACAGATGCTTGATAAAAAAAAATGGGGAAAAGGGGTAAAAGCCTAAACCTTAAGTCAATCGTTTGTCATCATTGTATGCATCTGGAAATACAATATATTTTTATCAGATCGATCACTTTCGCCGGCGTTTTACTTTCATCAGATTTTACAAGATATTATGCGTTTAACTACGTAGTAGGTCCATGGTACAACCACGAGGATACCTCATTATTATTCAGCAGAATATGGCAAATTATGCAAATTTTGCTTTGCTTTCTGGACCCGGGATTCTGGAGGCCTCTATGTAGAAGTATTACACCGTGAATAGCGAGGGGTATAGGGATGGATGCAATATTATATCTATAGTTGATGCTCTTTCTCCGGTCTTATCTGAGTAAGCTATCGCTTAAAACACGATCTATATCTCAGCGAATAAACACATTAACAAGGCCTGTGATATACCAACACCCTGGTCTTCTGGTCAACAACAGCACTGTAGTATTACCCTCAGTCGTTTTGGCATCCACTATCTAACTCTATCACAGAAGTGCGACCAGTGGCTCAGATATGAGCTCTGTTTTGTGTTAGTATGGATACAATTATTAATAACCATGGTAAGATCATTGATTTCTCTATTTATTAGCTGTCGTTTCGTTTGAGCTGTTTTTAAAGAGGCAATCATCGGATTGTATTAATACATTTAGATGTTATTGTACGGATCAGATAAAGACCGCACGGGGCTTCTAAGCATTGTGTCTTCTGCAAATCAAAGTTCTTTATGTCGTGTTTTTACCCCTACAAATGTGGACGATCATTTTTCTTTATTCTCGTTCCAGATTATATGACAGATTGAAGCCATTCATTTACGTCTTTTCACTAGCATATTCATAATAATACGTCGCCGTGGTTGTATTTTATTTCAGATAAATGTTGTTAAATTCAAAGTTAGATTCACTCATGCAGAAAGGCTCTGTCGTGATTTAGACGTTGTCGTTCAGTGTTTCTGTATTGACGAATTCCACCAATTCTCATATCTGTAAACAAAAACAACTGATCCGTGGAGACCTCCATTTTTAACCCAAAATCTAAAGAATTTTCGTTTCATCGAATTGATTAGAAGTATTCTCTCCTAGTAACAAATTATATAAGAGATAGGCTATTATCTCTTGATACGATTTTGAGTGAAAAAGTGAAGGGCTTATTTCTGTTTGGTTGATACTGACCCTGTACAGAGTTCAAGTAAATGTGGTCAATCAAAAATCTGATGTTGCTGTTTTCATTCTTGCTTTTTATGTGCGTTTACGAAACGATATAGGCCCGAAAGAAATGCCTCAATTGTCTACTCATTTATATCACTGAAGAGGGATACTTTACAACTCCTATTCAAGAAAAAGGTTTCCCCATTTTCGAAATCATTGCAGAGTTATTAATGTTGTAGTCCTTTGGGATCGATTTTAAATATCATGTTTTTTGTTGGTAAGTGAGCTCAGATGTATACATGTGCTCCTAAAATCAATAACCAGGCAAATTGTAATACTTCGAGTATTGAATTAGCCTAGACGTTTAGAAAAACGAATGGTAGGAAAAACAGTTTGCGGATATTTGTTTAAAGTTATATGACTGGTGGAATGATGAACAAAATCTTCATAATAAAAAGAGTATGAACCTGAATAATCAATTTTATATTTGATTATATTAATTTCATAGTCGCATCTAGCCTTTTCTGGTATTTTAACTGATATCATAAACCAAACATACAATGTATTGTGTATACAAAAATGAAGCAATTAAGACAAGAAATGACGTACAAATATTATCAGATAAATTCTGAATAAGTAACAGACATTGAAAACCACAATATAAAGGACTTACCAATTTCAATGCATGTTTACAAAGGGTAGCGTGTTTACACTTCACACCACCTGTGCAAAGTTTGATAGATTCTAGAACTACAAATCAATATTTGTAGTTCTAGAATGTAAACTATGAACTCGACGTCATGTGTCAATATCCACATTTAAAAACCATTATATCATAATTTTGTCTCTTATTCATCTCATTCACAAAGATACTAAGGAAATAGATCAGGTGATTGTCATTAAGTTGTATTTCGATCATACATATTTTATCTCGAATTTTATCTACGAGTCAATGTAATCAATCAGTCAGTTAATCAATCAATCTATCTATCAATCAATTAATCAGTCAGTCAATCAATCTATCTATCAATCAATCTATCTATCAATCTATCATTCAATCAATCTATCATTCAATCAATCTATCAATCAATCAATCAATCTATCATTCAATCAATCAATATATATGTCAATCAATCAATCTATCATTCGATCAATCTATCAATCAATCAATCAATTTTTCAATCAATCAATCAATCTATCAATCTATCATTCATTTCAATCTATCATTCAATCAATCAATCAATCAATCTATCTATCAATCAATCAATTTAACAATCAATCAATCAATCCATCTATCAATCAATCAATCTATCATTCAATCAATCTATCAATCTATCATTCACTCTATCTATCAATCAATCAATCTATCTATCAATCAATCAATTTATCAATCAATCAATCTATCAATTTATCAATCAATCAATCTATCATTCAATCAATCAATCAATCTATCATTCAATCAATCAATCAATCTATCATTCAATCAATCTATCATTCAATCAATCTATCATTCAATCAATCGATCGATCTATATATCAGTCAATCAATCAATCAATCTATCATTCAATCAATCTATCATTCAATCAATCTATCATTCAATCAATCTATCATTCAATCAATCTATCATTCAACCAATTAATCAATCAATCAATCTATCAATATATCAGTCAATCAATCAATCAATCAATCTATCATGCAATCAATCTCTTATTCATTCAATCAATCAATCAATATATCAGTCAATCAATCAATCAATCTATCATTCAATCAATCTATCATTCAACCAATTAATCAATCAATCAATCAATCAAAATACGAATCATCAGAAACTTTCTTTGACCCGTGTTTATTGTTTGTTTTTCTCTGTAAGATGATGACGTCATTGATGAAACGACTGGGCTTACCAAGCAGCAGAAGGCTTTGATCAAGAAGTCATGGACCTATGTCCTGGAAGACAAACTCAGGATTGGGGTCATCATCTTCATCAAGTAAGTAACATGGGCTCTGTCATCAACTGATTGGCCAATCCAAAGTGGCCATTCAGCCAAGATTCTAGGCTGGTCATTAGTCTGACCCAAATGTCAATGATTTCAAGTCATGCTTCTGATTATAAGCCTGTTTAGAAGCTTTCTTTTTTCATCAAGATCATGGTCGGACGCATGAACTATCAATAATATTTTTGACATTAATCAGAATTACCAGTAACATGACTACGATCATGATGATACAAGGGAATAACTATCTGGGATCTGTACTTGTTATCAGTAACAAGTTTAAAATAACTGTTATAAGCTACTGAAATCATGGCATTTTTTTGGCTAAGAGTAACTTTGTCATAGAAATTTTGAATTACAAACAAAATTGATAACAAGTTTTTATTTAAACAGAGCCCTGTTTGTAGACTGATCGTGACTACGATTGAGTAAAGATGACTTTAACCGAATATGCTCAGTCTTAGGTTCTCCTTGAGTGGCTTTAAATCATTTTATTCAAATCCATTACAATAAATTATTATCCGATACCGTCTGACTAATGTAATTATAATAAAACAGCTCCCTCAATCAACAATCTTCTACCCCAAACTACAACGGAAAAAACCACAAAACATAGCAAAACAAAAAACAAATAACAGACATAAAGGCCCGGTCTCACCGCCAGAACTTTGCTGGAGCGTTCCTGGAGCGGTGAAAAAAAATTCATCACCGCTCGTAACCGTTCACCACCGTTTAACAGAAGTTGGCCCCCGTTAAGGCAACGCCGTATACGCTCGGCCACCGCTGATGGTCCCTCCTACCGCTCCGAAAGTTTTGAGCTGCACAAAATATTGCGAGCGGTGAGGAGCGGGCAATTTTCCGCTCCGGCAAAGTTCACCACCGCTCCAACAACGCCCAGTCACCGCTAGACGCAAGTTCGTGGACGCTTTGGTCCGCTAGGCCAACGCAGAAATCTTGAACGCTGGACCACCGCTGCTTCGCCAGCTTTGCCCGGGCGGTGATTAAACGTTGCACAAACTTTGGTGGAGCGGTTGTAAGCGTTTTACGAGCGGACACGGGATTGCTGGAACGGTGTCGGGCGTTGAAGCAGCGATCCATTGCGGTGATGAACTTTGGTTTGGCGTTGGTATGGAGGTGTCGGAATGGGACCAACGCTCGCTACCGCTCGCTACCGTTAAACCAACGCGAAAGCAACGCCGGCTTCAGCGGTGCACCGCTAAGGCAACGCCCGTGTTTTCGATTTGTTTCCTATTTTGTGCGCGGTGACGAGCGTTGTCGAAATTCGGCCCCCTCTCCCTATCGTTCAAGGAACGCTCCAGCAAAGTTCTGGCGGTGAGACCGGGCCTTTAAGCTTTGAATTAGAAAAGTAACGATACGCCCGGTTTTTGTTTTGTTGTTGCTTTGTCTCAATATTCAAGACTACCCTTGAATAGTCTTCCATATCTTATACTAATGGAAATTTATTTGGAAAATATAATAATCTCTTTGAATTATAACCATTTAAACCCGAATACCCATCACAAAAACTCATACCTGATGAAGCTCACTCAATCATTGTGTTCTCACCCTTTATTCAGCTATAAAAGTTCATTGTGACAAAATAACAAAATTAGAAGTTTCAAAATCACGTTGAATCGAAGAAACTTGACCTTTATCCGGTCAATCAATATGAGTGATTATAACAACTGATGGATTCTTCCTTTTCAAAGTAAAGAGTTGTTTATATGTTGTGTAGAGCCAAAGTGTTCATTGTATTGGTCCTATGCTGTTTCCATAGGCGAACTAGTTGAAGCTATGACTAGAAGGTCAGATCGAAATGCATTTATTCGTCAGATATGCCCGCGATTTTTCCCGTGGTAATACTGATTACAATCATAAGAATGAGATGACTTAATCACTGATCATCGCTCTGTATTTCAGTCATTAGCAGTTATAGGTATAACACCCAAGGGAAAACAAAAAGCGTATACCACAATGAAAATGGGATTGTTAAAGGGCCGAGCCGCCTGCACCATTTACACGTCTATTGATCTCCCGTCCATAATCACGATCTCCCATTATGTAACACGATAACGTAACGTTTTTGTGGAACATCGGGATCGGATGGGCAATGATATACCTCTCGTAAGATTTTAAAACAAATTGGTACATCACTTTAGTGATACTTCAACAATAAAGGTACAGATATATCGGACAAAGGCATACAAAGAAAAGGAGAACGTACTGAGAAAAGCCCAGTACTTGACCATGAAGTGCTTTAATTAGCTCATCCTTTCGCACAGCGTCTATGCCATTCTAGAACTCAGATGACGGATCCTAAAATACTCACGACTTCGATTTATTTCTCATATCCACAGGTTATTCAAAGCCTTCCCAGCCTCCCAGCAGCTCTTCGAGAAGCTCAAGGACTACACAGACTTCGAAGAGCTTGCCCGGAACAAGAAGATGAAAGCCCATGCTACCAGGGTCATGGCTGCACTCACATCACTGGTAGAGAATATTGACCAACCTGACATCCTTGACGAACTGCTGCGGAATACCTCAGTCACACATTACAGAATGAGAATGCCACCACATTACTTTGAGGTACGTGAGTGGGCATAGGGACGTTGGTTGTGGTGGTGTTGGTGGTGGTGGTACTTGTATATTGGTGGTGGTAGAGTGGTGGTGGCGGCGGAGGTTGTAGTATAGTGGTGGTGCCAGTGGTGGTGACGTTAGTTTTAGTGGTGTTGGTGTCGATGGTGGCCATGGTGGCCATGGTGACGGTTGTGGCAGTGTTAATGGTGATGGCAGTGGCGGTGGTGGTAGTGGTAGAGTTGGCGGTGGTGGTGTTGTTGTTTTTGTTGGTAGTGATGGCAGTAGTTGTGGTGGTAGTGTTGGTGGTGTTGGTGGTGTTGGTGGTATTAATATGGTGGAGGTGTTATTTGTGGTAGTGGTGGTGGTGGTAGTGATGATGGTACTGGTGGTGGTATCTCGATACAATTTTGATGTGACATCAGAAAATGTTCAACTTTGTCAATTTTTAAAACTGCAATCTGCAATTTAATACTATATTGAGTATCGTGAACCAGCACGGCACTAATGTCCTTCAGCAAGACATTAATCCATATCTGCCCCTCCCGACCCAGGTGTAAATGGGTACTTGGTAATTGTTAGGTTTAAAATAATTGCAGTGCGAGAATTCTCAACTATATATATATACAAATAATAGTAATAATAACAATATTTACTTTTTATATAGCGCTTAATACAATTGTCTCTAAGCGCTTTAAAAATATACTATTACCTATTAAATAATACAAATTATGTTTATCAAGACAATCTAACGTATTTTTCTTTCATTTTCTTCTGCTTTGAACGAACCCCCACATTCTCTCTCCTTAGGACCTAGGCGGAGTAATAATCGAGGCACTGGTAGAAAATTTGGGAGATAAATTCACGCCTAAGACGAAAGAAGCATGGCTGATCTACTATGGATACATGTGTAGAATAATGCTGGAAGAAATGGAGGAACTGGAACCTTCGAACGACGATGATTAGAGTCAAGACACAATACTAACTATATCTTTGATGATCAGGTTGATGGTGTATGGATCTGTAAATAACTCCTAACATTTTTTCACATGTGATATAATCAGAGAGTAAAGGATGATTTTTACACTATGAAGTGGTTTATATAATTATTTACTATAAATACAACGTATGGCTGTATATGAACATCATTGATCGTATATATTGGAAGCTTATTTCTTGACGGAAACACGTTTTTAGCTCTAATAGGTCAATATTTTATTAATAGCGTAGCAATATCGTATTCAGTTAGTTTACGTCAGGTTGAGTCGACATAATTGCAAAATAATTCAAATAAATCTGTTTAATAGCTTTTCAAATGTGATCAGGGAAAATGTATCGAATTTATTTTTAAGTATACGTAGTTTTAGACAGTTTTGTGCATACAAGACACTGCATAGATGATGATATGACAGATGAACCTCATTCAAACCATTGGAAGGGACAAGCCGGAACGTTCGTAGAATTATGTTACCATTACAATTATCTAAACTATGCTTGGTAATAGGGGGAAAAGAAGTTGTTAATTTGAATTTTTAATGCAGCAATCTTTGATATTTTTCTGTTGAAATAAGATATGAGTAAACAGATATTTACCCCTGATTCGACCGTTTCAGGTGTAGTATGCACAGCACCTTAAAATGGACCAATAACCAACAGCAATTCCACTGATGGAATTGCTCATTTTAGGTGATTGTATAGCCAAGCAAAATCCTTTACATTTATCATAATTATGCATCACTCAATAATTTTTTTGCTTGGAATGGTGTTGGTGGTCTTTAAATGATTATATTTCGATCATAACAAAAAGTGATAACACGATTGCAACTGATTAAAAAAAAAAAATTGAAGGTCAATTTTAATACCCTATTGTATATCTCACAGAAATGTTTTTTTATCCCCCCCCCAAGTGGTTGTGATCGTATTTGATGTTCTTTAAAGAAAAAAGGAAGGTAAACCACCTAGTCCAGTCATGACTAAAGTGTTCACGCATCCATTTCGTGACCACCCGTCTCGTCTTCAAGATTGCCTGGATGCACACATGTGCTGGTCATCTGTCTCATCTTCAAGACTGGATGGACGCATCCAAGGGCTGGTCATCCGTCTCGTTTTCAAGACTGGATGGATGCACGCATCCAAGGGCTGGTCATCCGTCTCGTTTTCAAGACTGGATGGATGCACGCATCCAAGGGCTGGTCATCCGTCTCGTTTTCAAGACTGCCTGGATGCACGTACCTATATGCTGGTCATCTGTCTCGTCTTCGAAACTGGATGGATACCCGTATCGTTGGTCATCTGTCTCGTCTTCGAGACTGGATGGATACACGCACCATTGTGCTGGTCATCCGTCTCGTTTTCAAGACTGGATGGATGCACGCATCCTTGTGCTGGTCATCTGTCTCTTCTGAAGTCTGTGTAGCTGAGAGGCCGAAGACCTCATGACCTAATTGATATGAAGTGGTTGAGTGAAGATGAACGATTCCTTTTTAAATGTTATGACGTGTGAACATATGGTGGATTCGTCAGAACCAAGGACTAACTAGGCCTCCCGAGGACAGCCTAATGACATTCTCTATCTCTAGACATTCTTCCCGTCATGATTCGATCCTCGTTAACAAGAGAGCTCGACCTCGTTCAGTGGTTTCATTTTAAGATTCCAAAGGCATTGACAAAAAAAAACGGCTGTACACAATGCATGAAATTTTGAAAAGGGGATACATTAAATTATTATGATTTAGTATTTAATAACCCTTAATCGATGTAAAGAGCATTCGAAAAGAAGATGCAGCCGATTCAATGTATGCATCTACTCATATTGTGGGAATCAGCCGTCTATACCACGTGATAAAGATTAATCTCAGTCAAGTATTGCAGTTTAAGATTAAATCAATTCCCTCATAAAACGAATTATTAGACATTTCCATCACCAGTCCAATAGGTTATTTTTGTTTAATGAGTCGATTTGAGTGAAATATTGGGTACGACGATCAACTAATTCATGTACGTCGAATATCTTGAACTATTTATAGCCTAATAAGACTGCTGATACATTTCCAGGTGCAGAATATAGATGGTGAATATTGATAATGATATGATAACGTGAAACAAATGGAAATTTCGTCTCATCTAGATGGATCTGGAATTTGTCAAAATGTCATCGCTGAGATGACGTCATAACTCGCTAAGACGATCCCATACTCTGAATACCAGTATGGTTGCATCCTGCAAAACACATCGCAAAAGTCACCCCAAGGCCAGGGTATATGCATGCACAAAAGGGAAGATAATGAATCTAGTCCCGAAGAAAGCAAGTCGATTTATTTTCATGATGTATGTTATATGATTAGAGAGTCATACCTGTGAAAGTACTCGCCCGCCAAACTATGTCGTCATTCCTCGGCTGCCAAACCCATCGGTCTCCTTTCTGTTCCCAGGCAGTGGTATATATAGCGCTCTCTCTAAATATATCATGATGAGTCTGTATTGGTATGAAGACGGGGTTTGCAGACGTTACGGGATGTCGTACTATGATGTAACCAACCTACTTTCGTTTGACACCCCCACCCTCTGGAATTATATATTTTAATCTTCACAGCCCCCCAATTTAATTAAGATTTCATGATTTCTTGGAACACATAATGAATTTATACATGTGTATCAATTGCGGCAAAATTATACAGTGTATTTAAAGGCAGGCTTTACTACTTCAGCCAGAAGGGATTAGACCGCCCAGCGAGCGAGCGAGGTAACTGTGACAGGTGGCTATCTCTTTAACTCAGCTCTCATTTAACATAAGAAAAAGAGGATCATGGGGGACCAACAGGCACCGATTGGGGAAGTTTTCTATATAGACGGAGCAAGTAGCTACAAGTAGGGCAGTGTGCCTTTAAGATGTGTCTCGCTTTACACAGGTCCCGGGTGGTTCCTCTCCTGTTAAAAGATATTAAAGGCCTATTTTAAAGCCTTCTTCAGGGATTTCATTTCTCGAGTACCTCCAAATAATGCCCCCCCCTCTTTGTCAGAGATTTGAATGTTCGAGATGATTGCTGATAAAGATTAAACAACCCTCAAAATAGACTTTGGGTCACTGTCCCCATTTTCCATCAGGACCACCCGATGGATATAAGCGAATGTAATCAGATAACTGGATTGAAATACGTTCCCCATGAGATAACAAGGATTGTGAAATATGTTATATGTATCATCTTATCAAATCAAGACCTTTTTTCTTTCAAGTTAGATTTTATTTGTAAAGGCAATTGTTGTACAGGTGAAATGATAATGTATTATTTACAACATAATTTTTGATATTGTATAATGTACTCAAGATACGTTCCGGACAAGCGTCGCTTTTAAGACGATGGACTGATAAAGATTAAAAGAGTAATGTTACTGCGAAGATTCATATTTGACAATTGTATATCTTTCTGTTCATTCATTTGAATGTATATCTGTATTATATATGTTGTGTATTTGTTTTATTGGCTCTTTACCTTTCTTCAAATTCTGTGATTACGGTTTCATCCGAAAAGATTGTTGTTTTCCCTTAACACAGTAGAATTTCCTGGTGAAAACTTAAACCATCAATAAAAGCCCAAAAGACAGGCGACGAAAGAGAAGAAACACATTTTTTTGTTGATCCTTCTTTTTGAAGTCGAACACTAGTTGTTGCCCATTTGTATGCTGTTTTGCGATTCTTGCAATTTGGACACTCTGGGCCGCCTGTAACCATGAAAGTTGGAACAACTCCCTGGTTAGAATAAATGTTTAAGACAATCAAGGGTTTATGTTGAAATCCCCTTGGGCTACATGATACTGTTGAATCAGTACCACTCAATACTAAAACATTGTTACGAATATTAAATATTTTTAATTATATACATATTCATAAGTATGTAAATTTACCCTGATGCACATTCATATTAGTCGGTGCATGGGATATTAGATAAACCACCACAGTCATGGGTTAAACTTAGTTGTTTTTTCGTTAATATATTTTGCTGTTTCGAGTATTCGTGTGTTTGTGTGAGATAAGAGGGAAAATCAGTCAAACATCTTTAACCCTCTCATAATAATAATAATAATAATAATAATAATAATAATAATGTTTTTTTAAATCTAATGGTTAAAAAAATGGTATAATGTAGAGGGACATCGATTCACTTTTCATCTCTTCTTGTGTGTAAGATCACGTGATATGTAGATTTCTTTCATGACTTGTTTACTATGATATAAATGTGAGTAATGTGGATGAAATATAGATTTAAACACATTGATAAAACTTCTATTGTGTTTGTAATTATGAAGTATGAGGAGTACAAAGCATATAACAGGCATATAGTCAAGATACATACAGAGGTACGGGCATATTGTCCAGTTTGCGGTTACATAACATTTTCCACACGCGAGCAAAACGAGAGCAAAAATTGTTGAAATATTTATAGTAAACATTACCTAAATTCCATATTTAGGCACCTCCCGATCGAACATGAGACTGTTCGGGCATCTCCCTGCCCAATGGGTAATTTCATAAATAATTAGGGAACTTTTTTTTTTTTTTGGGGGGGGGGGGGTTTCCCAGTTACATAAGGAACCCACACGTATTTGTGGCTCTGAATAAAGACTCAAATAGTGGAGGGAGATTGTAAAGTGATTTCCTAGCATAATATTGCATCCTCATACCTAGAATCACTTAACAATCTCACTCTGCTATTTAAGTCTTTACTCAGAGTCACAAATACGTGTGGGTTCCTTAATATGTAAGTGGGACGCCAAAAATGTCACAAAGTAGGTCCCTAATTTGTGGAATTACCCACATTCGGGCACACCGGGCCCCAGGCGCGGATCCAGGATTACTAAGGGGTGGGGGCCCAATTTTTTTTCTTTTTGCTCCCGTAAATTTGAAAATCGCGCCGGCCGAAAATGCGCTCAGTAGGGGGGGGGGGGGGGGGGGGGGTAGTGAGCACTAATTTTATTATTTTTTTTGGCTCTCGAAAAATTTGCACCCCCCCCCCCCCCTTGACCGCCAGGGGGGGGGGGGTCTATCATCCCAAAAAGGTTAAATTAACGTGTTTTTACACGGTTTTTTTCCCAGGGGGGGGGGGAGGTCCCCCCCCCTGGATCCGCCACTGCCGGTCCCCGCTGCCCGAATTTGAGGTGGAGGTTGCTCGAAAAATTGAAACGTTTTGAATTTGAAACGTACAAACAAAAATCACAAAGCTTAAACAAAGAATAAGTTATTATTTTTTTTAACGTGGCAGTTTATGGTTTTGATCTTGCTTTTGTTTCGAAACAAATGATGATTCGGCTGACAAAACCATCGGGCCTAAACTTTGGAAAACTAACAGTTTAGAGGATTTATCTCAACGTGCTTGTAAGTGAACGGCAATGGATCTTGGAGTTATGAACACTTTATTATCTCTAAAAGGTACTTGTTTTTAAATGGGCACATACAATGTGTCCCGACCAATACGCGTACATAATAATGAATAAATCAATTGGACTAAACCTATGGTAGTTATTGCTGGCAAAATATATATTTCACCCTTTATGTAAGTAGTGTTTTTTCTGTTAGCTCCCTTTATTAAATAAAACAACATTGGCTCTGTTAGTGATATAATTTATGTCAAGTATTGTACAGTGTATATTTTGCAAAGTTTACATAATTCCTTAGAAATGTGTACCATCTCCTTTTTCTACCGACTTTGCTGATAAGTGTGAAACATAGAGCACATCTTAGTCACGACCTGTACATGAACCTTTGTAAATCGTGAGGTAAAATAAGTGTGGATTTTATCGAAATAAAATATGTTTATCTTTAAAGACAAAATTGTTTGCGTGTGATTGCTTTAACTAATCGTAAGAGTCGCAAAAGACAGTATATAAGAAGTAACAAAAATAATAATACAGTAATATTTCATAAAGCGCTTAATTTAATTTTTTTTTTACAAGCGCTGTACCATCATTAGCCGGCATTAGTCATTTAGATGCCAAATTCCAAAGTAATGTTAACTTTAATATTAAAGATCACCTGCAGTAAAATATGATATTTATGTTTATGAGAACATAATAAAAGAGAATAAAAACAGTAAAAATCACCGCCAGGTATTCCTATCATTAAAAAAGAAAAAAAAAACTACTTGTTAGCAGCTTAGAATTATTTCTTGTACTCTATCAACTTCAAAGTTAAACATGATTGCAAATACTTAAGAAGAAAAACAAAATGACGTTCAACAGACAATTTAACTAGCCTTGTGCATCACCTATACATTGAATGCGCAGATTACGCAATGACATAATCCAAATATTATTTCACACGAGAATTGCATTTGGTTAATTTCTTGGAAACCCTTTGCGATCATATTACACACACAAAAAATAAATATTTGATTAAATGTCTGCACGTACAGTCAAACCTGTATATTAAGGCCATCCATAGGAAACAGAGAGAGTAGCCCCTATAGACAGGTAGCCTTTTTAGATGGGTTCTACAACACACACTCGCGCACGCGCGCGCTCTCCCTCTCTCTCTCTCTCTTTATATCCTGCATCCAAAAATTGTTGGCTTTTGATTGGTTGAGAGCTCGTTACATGAGCAGAAGTATTTGAACTATTTTTTAGAAAGTACTATATGAGAGTACTATTTGGGAGTTGAAAAAATTGTGAATTTTTTTTTTTAATTGATTTTTTTTTTTTTTATGAATCTTATTTAATGAAAACAAAATATTTAAATCTTTTTAGATAAAAATTGATTTTTTTTTTTTGCCAATTTTTTTTAATTTTTTTTTTTTATAAAATATTTTTTTGATGCAGGATATAAAACAAATATACCATGCCTCTATTCGAGGTTCTGGTTAAAACTATGGGCCTCG